ATATATTCACCAAGTAATTAAATTTCAGTTTGAAAAATGAAATATATAAAATCTAAATTTAATCTTAATAATTCAGGTGTCTGTTAGACAAAAATACTCCCACCAAAACTTTGATTAATTGTGCTTCCCAAAATAAAATGATGTCAGCATGCTCTGAACTAGCTATATGTCCTCAGAACTGCATCTTTTTTGCTATAAAGAAACTGTGGATCCATGGATGATATGATGGCGGCATATTTCATGACAAACACACCAGGTTTGCTAAATAATCTATAATTAGAGTTTTTTTTACCGAATTTTACTTTTGCTTATAACATAACTCTTTTCACTCTGCCTCTGATATGAGGCTACATTAAAAAGTTTTAAAGCAATTAGAAAAAAGTTAAATAAATATTATATGTTCTAGGAAACTTTTTAAATGATCTAGTTGAAAAATGGGCAACATTGAAAAAATAAATAATAAAAAAGGCAGAATTAGCTAGAAACATCTTTAAAAAAATGCTAAGAAAGTTTTTTAGATTAAAAAACCTGATATTTGCTCCATTTTGGAGAAGAAACATGGAAACAACCTAGATTCATACAATTCAGATAATCAGTTTTTAAATGATAAAATGAAGAAAACGTAAAATGACACTTGGTCCAAAGGATTTAGCATATTGCCGAAAGCTGAAAATGATAGAAAAAAGAAGATTGCAATATTTAACATTTATTGCGCAACAAGAGGATTAAACTGAGAAAATTGAGTTTTTATCATTAGATCAAAATGAGGTCTTTTTTTGTCAAGATTCCAACTATTCAGCAGGTGAAATTAAATCAGGTACTAGTGCTTCAACAGTATTACCTAAAAATTTGTTGACATATTTCTCGCTTTCAGAATCTACTATCAGACGTGCAAAAAAGGAAGCAATAAATACAAGTGCAGCTAAATATCAAGAAGATATAATAAAAGCTGCAAGTTAAAGTAAATTTCAAATAATCACACTGTTTGATGGAAAAATCTTGTAGGATATTACTAATGGCACAAAACAAAAAAGAGATCGTTTTGCTGTTCTTGTAAATATCAATAGTGATTTAAAACTTCTTGGCATTCCGCCTATGGAAAATGATACTGGAAAATCTCATCATGATATTTTAATAAACATTTTTGATGAATATAAGCTAAGGACTTATATAAAGGGTCTAATGTACTTTGACACAACTGCAACTAATACAGAAAAATATTCCGGCACAAACATTAGATTTTGTCAAACACAGGGTTCAATTATATTACAGCTTGCATGTCGAAGACATATTTACAAGCTTCACTGTAAAAATTTTTAGAAAAAAGTTCACATTGGTAAAACTTTTGCTCCTGAAAATCTGATGTTCAAAGTTTTCCAATCTAATTAGAGTGCAACAAAGGAAACTGGATAAATCAAAGTTTGACAAAGCTGCAGTTGAAGGAACGTATCTAGAAAAACAGATTGAAAAAATTGTTCAATTTTGCAAGTATGCACTTGCCAATTTCGTATTTCCAAGAAGTGATTATAAAGAACTAGTAGAACTTACACTCACCTACTTATGTCCAGATGTAAGTTTTAATGTTTATGCTCCCTGATCAGTTTCCCATTCTCGTTTTATAGCAAAGTCTATATATTATCTTAAAATTCAAGTTTTAAGTAATCAGTTGCCTTATATATATATATATATATATATATATATATATATATATATATATATATATATATATATATATATATATATATATATATATGTATATATATATATATATATATATATATATATATATATATATATATATATATATATATATATATATATATGTATATATATATATATATATATATATATATATATATATATATATATATATATATATATATATATATATATATATATTAAGGATATGACAATTTCATAACCCTATATGCCCATATGATAATTAGTGGAGGTTTTGTGTACATATAATGAATAAGTAAATATTTTTCTTTTTGCTTAAAAAAAGTTCACCCTCCAAAGGAGAAAATGACGTGTCTAAGATATAACATGTAAGTATATTCACATAAAAGTTGCATCATTTTACAATAACATTTTACATTTTACAATATATCACCGATAAATAAATACACCAGTATTTTTCTAATGTTCATTTCTTTTAACATTCAACTTTTCAGTCGATCTGCAGAGTGGAAGCAGGTCTTGCATTACTTTAATGGCACGCTCAGCACAGATATTTGAATGCTGGTTTGCTATAGGCGTAGGCTCCACTGACCAAAACTTCCTCAATGAGCGCAAAGCCTTAGGATACTCTTTACAAGCTTCTGACAAATTATCAAAGTTGGCAAGGTTGAAGAACTGAGAAGAGAACCATACTTTTGACCATGAACCACAGTTGAAATCACATGCCACTTTTGCTGTTTGTCTAAACTCTGGCATCAGGATGAAACTAAGCAAAACATAAATGGCTCTTGAGTTCCATCTTGCATTACTGATAGATGTA